TTTTTTTTTCCATTTGTGTCGTATAAACTCTTAATTCTGAGTTTTTCTCTCAATTGTTTCGTATAAACTCTCAATTCTGAGTTTTTTCTCGCAATTCTGTCATATAAACTCTCAATTCTGACTTTTTTCTCGCAATTGTGTCGCATAAACTCTCAATTCTGAGTTTTTTCTCGCAATTGTGTCGTATAAACTCACAATTCTGACTTTTTTCTCGCAATTCTGACTTTTTAATCGCTCAATAAATCAACAGCCATTCACTGCCATTACAAAGATTGGAAGAGCCAGGACATTTTTTAATATATCTCCGATTGTATTCCTCTGAAAAAAGAAAGTCATATACATTAGGATGGCTTGAAGGTGAGTAAATCATTGGGTAATTTTCATTTTTAGGTGAACTATCTGCTTAATATTAGTTTGAGGGGTAACAAATATTCTAAAACAACTTTCATCTTTTACAGACTTTCACCTCCATCACGTCTGCTTTCTCACTCCATCACGTTGTTTTCTCTGCTGTTCAAATGTGACCACTCAGCTCCACACGCTGTCAAGGGGTCAAAGGTCAGTCCTGAAGGCATCATTTGTTCAGAACACATGGCATTCCTGTGCTTAAATTAGCTTGTGCACTTTTATTGGGACGAAACCTGTCGAAACAACTGTTCCCAAGGCCCAGAACAAAGATGCAGGGAGAAAGTCCGAAGCGGTTCATTTGAGAGCGGACAGAGATCAGAAGCTGCTGAAAGCATAAACACCTCAGATGTTTTTGCATTTAATTGAAGCCAAGAATCTTTTCTGGACAACATCTGAAGACCATCTTCAATTTTGGAATGTTTCGCTTGAAGGGAAGATTTCGAAACATGCCGATCTGCTACTTTTAAGTATTCACACTACGTTTAAAAGGTAAGCACATCTGTTTTGTGTTGTTGTGCTGCCTCACCCTGACCGAAAGGGTCACCCAGGGGTCTCCTGCTGTCTCCGCCGTGCCACTCTTATTGCCAGGCTCCTCTGTTCTCAGTCAGAGAGGAAGTTTTGACAGCCAGACTTTACAACCTCCTCTCCCCCTGCCTGTGCTTTGCACATGCTCTAACAGAAACTCCGGTCCGGTGACTTCATCCCTCATTCACGAAAGCTTCCCCTCCTCCTCCTTCTCTCTCTCTCTCTCCGGCAGCATGCCAGCCGTTTTCCTCTTGCTGCGCTCTCTGGTTGTCAGTCTCCTCAGTAGCAGATTAGCAGCCTCTGCCGTGCAGCTCCTTCGCAGAAGCCTGACGGCGGCTGCTGGGCACCTCGGCACCGTGCTGCGCCACGTCTGGGAGCGGATCAGTTCCAAGGAGTCCAAGGAGGCCATCCTGGGCTGCGTCCTGTGCATTCTGAACATGCACAAGAAGGTGGACAACTAAATTCGAGAAGAACGAGTATAGCTTGGACTTTTTAATTTGTGATTTAGAACGAACCATGTCGGAGAGCATTGCCAGGAAAATCCAGCCGTTCACCATCGGGACCAAACTCTCGGCGCCGGCCGTGCCAAAGTGCTCGGACTTTCCCGATGGTTTTCTTCCGAATCAGACATTCTCAGATAACTGCAAACTGAGGCACCTGAACGAACAGGTGTCTCTTTATCTTGGCCGCGACAGGCACTGCGGACCTGCGGCGAAGCATCGGCGTGAAGAGATGTCCGACGACCACCTGAACCGAAACACAGTCTCCCCACCGAACACTGCATCCAGGTCCATTCGTAAGATCACCATCTCCAGCCGAATGGAGGCTGCGAAAGACAGACTGACTCCAGGGATGGAGCTGAAGAAAATAAGAGCAAACTCTGAGAATATTAATAACAATAACAACATCACATCCGTCAACACGCAGCTGCCTAAAATAGTGGGTGTCAGCTATGAGAATAAACCCAGCTCACAGTTCAAGGTAAGACACGCTTATTTTAATTCATTTGTAAAAATGTGAAGTCCAATCAAAAATCCAATCAGAATGAAAGTAAATTAAAATATTTGTTGTTTTATGTGAAGCCATCATTGCTTTTTAATGCAGGCGTACAAAGAGTATTAAGGCTGTTTGTATTAAAGTTAACAAAAATGCCTTTTTTTTTGGTCTATAAAATCTAGTTTTCATTTTAAGTAGTACTGTCAAATGATTAATCGCGATTAATCGCATCCAAAAGAAAAGTTTTTGTTTGCATGTATATTTATTATATACAGTATATATTTTGAAAATATTTACATGTATTTACATGTCTATATTTATATTCATATAATTGATATTATAAATAAATTTAATATATATAAAATAACAAATTTTTCTGAAATATATACATGCATGTGTGTGTGTATTTATATATGCATAATAAATATACACAGTACACACATATATTATGCAAACAAAAACTTTTTTTTTTGGATGTGATTAATTGTGATTAATCGTTTGACAGCACTAAATTATTAAGTAATGTGTAAAGTAAAAAAAAACTCAAAGGTTGTTGTTGTTATTGTTATTAATGATGAAATGAGCAATCGTTTTATTTATGAAGTGCGTAAAATGCTTCATAAATAAGTGTTTTTATAGATATAATAATGAAAGAATGAATGAAATAATATTTTTAAAATATTTATACTGTGCTTCTTATTAATTTCATTTAATATTAAGACAAAAAATGCACAAACAAAAATCCTGAATACAGATGTTTAAATTGATATGTAATTAGAAAAAATAATAAATGTTTATACATATACACCATTTATAAATGTATCACACATGCCACTGAAGATTGAAATGTGACTAAATATATATATATATATATATATAAAAAGCCTGCAAAATGTCATGTAAGTGCAGTGAACTTTTAAACATTGCTATATCGAGTTAAACCTGCTTACATAAACTACTCGGGACAATAACATCGTGTTACTGGAATAAAATGGCATGCCCTGGTATTGAGGAATCTTGTTTTTGGAGAATCCGTAATAAGACTCCCGTAATCAAAACATAACGAGATGCCATGGAAACGGCAATGCACAAATATACTATTGTAGCCGATCTCATCCAGGCTGATGATGCCATCACTCTCTCAGCTTTAATATTAGTTCATGCGAGTCCACATGAACTGATAGACACGTCTTGTTATGAGCTGGAAACGGCAGGAGATGAGTGCGGTCGTGTGCTCAGGATCTGTGTGGTTCAGATGATGTGTTTATTATGTAACGCTGCTCTTCCTGGAATCAATGCTCAAGTTCAAATGATGTCAGAGCTTCGGATGTTAAAATCCACCTTCAGGATTCTGCGTGTGTTCACCTCAGGTTTTGTCTCAGGTCAATGGGTCAGCAGGAGAAATTTTTCTGTGTATTTATACTTTACAATATAGATATAGAGTAGGGTCCAAAAGTCTAATGCCACTAGTCACAATGCTTCTATTTTTCTCATCTTTATTTCATTGCAAATCATATGATCCGTATCAGTTTCAGCGGAAATTTTTGCAGTTAACATGATTTTCAGGATTTCTTAGTTTGTGTTTTGTTTTTTAATATATGAATATAATAAAAAGTGTATTAATATAATTCATACAATTCATATATAAATAAATTGATAAATGAACATACAAATATACATAATTGTATGTTAGTGTGTTAGAAGTACAGATAATCAGTTTTGGCCTTGAAAAGCAAAACCACAATATTGTCTGTCTCAGATAATGAATATAAATCATGACAGCTCACTGTTTATGTCTTTGTTTAGGTGTTGCTGTGTAAAGATGGTGAAAAGCAGTGCAGTGGTGACCAAGAGAAATTCGCTTCTTCTCCACAGGTAACTTTATGATTTACCAGATTAACCCGTATGACAATTTTCTGAAAAAAAAAGAGATAGTTTTCATCATTCAGATTCAGATTTGAGATGGTCTTTGATTTTACATTTATGTGTTTAGCGGACACTTTTATCAAGAGCAGCTGAAAAACAAGCAAGCTGTTTTAGCTGCTTTTTTCATATTTATTTTCATCATAGTTTTTTTTTTTTTTAAGTCTTCATTAAAGCATCAACCAAACTAACCACCTCTGGGATTAATCACATCCAACATTTGAAGCAAGAAATTTGTGAAATTTAAATTATTTTATAAGTACACAGATGGTTGTGGTAGAGGTGGTGTTAGGGATGTAATTATTATAAAACTATTTCATTTTATTATAAAACAGTATAACAATAAGCTTTTGGAAAATACTCTAATATATACAAAAATGTAATGCAGTTCATGTTTAATTTCAAATACACAATTCACACCAGTGTTTTTTTTGTTTGTTTTTTAGTATAATTTAGAATTTATTATAGTTTTTAAAAATTTTGAATTATTTTTGTGTTTTCCATATTCATTTTAATTAAAATTTGAGTAATTTTTGTTGTGTTTTTTATTTTTATTTTTGTGGTTGTTTAGA